AGTCGAAGCATCGACCTCTTGGATGACCATCAACCAGGACTTCACATCAGAAAGCTCCCCTTCCCTGAGCCTTCCCCCTGAAAGAGGAGCCTTGGCACGCTTATTTACAAAGATTTATTACAGCAGGGGAAGGTTTCAGACCTGGAGTCAGGGAAGAATGGGGGGTGGTTGGGGTGGGTGGGCACAGGAGATGGAGGATGAGGAAAACCTGGCTACCCCCACCATATGCCCCCCCACGGATGCATACTGGGCGGCATTCCTGGCATCAAAGCACAAACAAAACGCAACAAAGCACCCGCTGCAAGTCCACCTTCCAGGCACCCAGGCTAGGGTGGGGGGTGGTAAAAGGAGCGATCCCACCATAGTGAGGCTCTGGAGAGGGATGCCCAAGTCTGGACCCAGGTAGAAGGGTGGTGACTTGGCATCCCCCATATGAGAGATGGAGAAGAATCTATGGGCACCAACAGGTTCTCAGCACCGCCCCCCCCCATCCCCCAGATCTTAGGGTCCTGCCCTGTGGTCTCCTGCGCCTAGGGCCCAGGGAGGGGTGTTAATGAAGGGTGGGCCCTAGTCCCCAGGTTCCTGGATTTTCCAGTGTGGACTCTCTTACATCCCACCTCCCTTTGGGTGTATTGGGGGCAAGACTGGCAGGGGTAGACATTGAGTAGCAAGAGTCCAGGAAATCTGGGCATCAGCCAAAGGTGGGCAGACAAGCAAACACAGACCAGCCTTAATCTCCTAGAAGTCAGAAGCCGCAGCCCTAGCAGATGAGGGGAAGAGTACAGAGTAGGATGAGGGAGGAATGAATGGGGTGATGGGGGAACAGCAATGCCCCTCCACTTTCTCCCTCCTGGGAGATGCTGGGCTTGGTGCCTATGTGCGGGGCTCAGAGGGGGCAGGCTGCCGAGGTTCCTCCCCTGGCACTGCAAGGCAAGCCAGGAGGGACTCAGGAGCTGGCCCTATCCCCCAAGAGCCCCACCTCCCTTCCCCTCCCCCACTCCAGGCCTCACCACTTAGTGCTGAGTCTTCCACTTGAACCTCGGAGCTTCTGTCTCTCTGGGGCTCATCCAGAGGGGGTGGGCGCTCCCAGGGCCCCTCCAGACCCTGGCCATAGGTTGCTTTCGGCCCTGCCGGGAATTGGGAAAAAGGGGCTAAAGATACAGGCTCTGCGTTTCCATCCAGCAGTCCCGGTGCACGAGAGCCCAGATCCTCTCTCCAATGGCGGAAGCAGAGCTTTCGAGGGCCCCAGAGTCTAGTGACGAGAGCACAGGGACTGGCTGTGTGCCTTAGAGTGGTCACTTGTCCCCTCTGAAGGGGATCCCGCGACCAGCAAGTTGATTCCAATTCCTGGCGGCCTATAGGGCAGAGTGGAGCTGCTGTAGGGGATTTCAGAGGCTGTCGGTCTTCCTGGGAGCAGAGAGCTCCCCACCACCATCTTGTGAGGAGCAGGGGAACTGGAAGAGGGCCATCATGCAGGTGACCAGTAAGGGAAGGATACACTGCCCGCACTCTTGGCGATGGTGCCTGATATTGCTCCTTAGTTGTCATTTGATGCCATTTTCCCTCAGAAGACTGTTTCTGTTCACTGTCTCCCCACCCTCCTTCTGGGGACTCCATGGGAGTGGACTTAGCTCTTCCAGCTCTCCTCCAATGCTATCGCGGCACCCCCACCCACCCTGCTAGAGAGGCAAACAGGATGCCCACGGCCATTTTGTCTGGTGCAGGTCTGAACCCTTGAGGCTGGGCCGTCAGCTGTTTTTTCAGCCCCATAAATAATGGGGCTAAAAAGTCCGACATCCACTAGGAGTGAGAGACAAGCCTGAGGCCAAAGCCCCAAAGGCACTGCCAGAGAGTCCGTTCTGGCTGTGGCTAGGAGAGAGCTGAACTGCCCGGGGGCTCCGAGGGGGCTCTGAGGCTGTCAATCTGTATGTGAGTCGGAGCCCAACGTGGGCCCACTAGGCCATCAGGCTCCCACATGAGACCTTAGGTGGTGCCAGTGGCTACTCTGCCTGGTTGCTGACCAAAAAGGTTGAAGGTCTGAGTCTACCCAGAAGCACCTCAGAAGACCTGGCGATCTATTTCAAGAAAAATCAACCTCGGAAAGCCCTATAGGAAAGCCCTATAGCGTGCAGTTCTGTTCTGATACTAATGGGGTCACCGTGAAATGGAGATCAACGACAACTAGTGGTGGTGGTTGTTTTTAAAGAGGGTGGCCGTGGCCCAGGAAACCTGGTGGCATAGTGCGTTACACCTTGTCCTGCTAGCCACAAGGTCAGCGGTTGGAAACCACCAGCCGCTCTGTGGGAGGAAGAGGAGGCTTTCGACTCCGGTGAAGATCGACAATCTTGGAAACGCACAGAGCCATTCTGCTCCATCTTGCAGGCTCACCATGAGTCAGAATCCACTCGGTGGCAGTGAGCTTGGTTTGGGTTTGGAGATACAGCCCAGCCTTCACCACCCAGGCATGGAAGCAGCAACAAGTGGAGGATGCGATCTTTAAGCCTGGACCTTCTCTGGCCCTTGAATCCTGGTTTATCCATTTGGACACCAGAGGGCACCCTCTCACCCCCAGAGAAGAGAGTGAAGTGAAAGAAGTGGCCGCTCAGCCTGGAGAGGGTACCTCGGCCAGCCCTGACCTCCCAGTGGCGCCCGTACTGGGGTTCAGAAATGCAGGCAAGGGGGCAATGACTTTTCGTCCTCTCTCCCTGGATGTCCTTGTGCCCCTTTGTCCTCACGGATCAGACGTCCTTTCTTGTGTGTCTAGCCTCAACCCCATTATGACTTAATTCCTAAGGAGTGAGAGGAACCAGGAGAAACCTGATGGGGAGTTACAGATTTAACTTCGTCTCCTCAAAATCTGCCTGCGGTGGAGGGAGAGAGATGAGACTGTCTGCTCCCGGAGCAGCCGGCTGACAGCCTCAGAGGCCCCAGAGAGCAGTCCACACTGTCCCGTGGGGCCACTAGGCGTCGGAATTGGCTCCACTGCTGGCTGTGGGGAGATTTTCTGAATGCCTGCGGTTATAATCCTTGTTATATTGACGAGGCAGGATTAGTGTCAGATGGATCTTAACTAAATCTCTTGTGAAATATGAAAGAGATGAAGGAAGTAGTCAGTGAGCAAGCAGAGATGGGGGGAGAGATGTAAAGCCATATGACTGTCCAAAGAGACCAAGATCTTCCTCCAGAGCTGGCAGAGAGGGAAAGCCAGCGCCCTGCGTGTGGGCTTCGGTGAGAAGCCCGTTTCTGTTTGTTAAAGCCACCCCTTGTGGTGTTTCTGCTCCAGCAGCCTCAGTGAGCCAAGTCCAGGCCTCTTGTGGGTGAGCTCTGGGGGCCTACATGTGAGCAACTGGGAACTGGAGGGAGGTGCCCTGCTCTGCCCATGATGGCCAGACCCCGGCGTCCCAGCCCCTTCAGCTGACCCTTCAAGATTTCAGCCTGGCTGTCGTCCTCTTCGTCCTCCTCATCGTCATCCTCCTCCTCCTCGTCCTCGTCCTCCCTGGGGTAGCCCAGGGCCCGCAGCTCCCCCAGCTCATCCTCCTCCTCCTCCGAGGCCTGGTTCTCGCCCAGGTTGCTGATGGACTGCAGGTGAGATTCCGCGATGCGCTGCACAGCTAGAACAGAGGGGCCCAGGACAGCAAGGTTCGGTCAGGCCCAAGAAGCAGCCCAGGAGCTGTTGGAGCTGGCAAGGGGGGTGGCTTGGCCGCCCCCTCCTTCCCACTACTCAAGGGGGCAGAGCTAATCCCCTCAAGACTGCAGGCCCCCCTATTGGGCACCAGAACTTGGCAGAAGCAGGGAGAGATTCTTGTACCTGTTTGGCCCCCAATCAAGCTGTCCTCCAAGTGCCAGCCCGCTGGAAGCGAGCATGCGGCAATGCCCCTCCACTGTGGGGCGCCAGGCTGGGCAAGAACAGGCAGCCACTGTGGCAGCTTAACATTCCCCGGCTGTAGCTCCTGGCTTCGCCAGCTACCCGGTGCTGCCCGGTGCTGGAGATGGTGCCTATGGGCTCCTGCCCAGGCTGTGCATCCAGCCGGCACGGTGGTTTGGTTTGCCCCTTTCAAATGCTGGGCAGGCCTCCTGCCTGCTTAGGGCTCCCTGCTCTCCAGGACCCTGCCCCGCATGTGCTCCGTCCCCACACACTGACACTGCCCAGTCACAGCCATTGCTCCAAGGGCCAGCAAGGAGCCCATGGCTGGGGATGTGGTGGGCTCAGACTCAGCCCCTACCATCTTGACCCACATCCCCTAGCTGCCAGCTCTGATTCGGTAACCTAGAAACCAGCACACCTCCCCCCACACAAGCACCACCCTGGCCTGCTGGGATAGCGCCTAGGAAGGGACCGTGGAGAGACTTTCCAAAAGATGGAAAGAAGCTGGGGGCTGGGAAGCAAGGGGGACCAGGGCTGAGGGACCCAACAGGCGCCGGGAGGGAGGACAGGGTCATCAGGGAGCCAGGAGCTGGCAGCGTGGAGGAACACAGAGAGGAGAGGCTGACAAGCTAGGGCGTGGGGCCGCTCCCCCCTCAGAAGGCCGACAGGAGGAGGTCCAGCCTGGAAGCCTTCGGTGGGGTGAGTGGGGCAGGAACTCCTGCCAGCCTCAGCCTGGGGACAGGCACACAGGGTGCATTGTGTGCTGCCCCACCCTACCCTACTCCCAGCCCAGTGCCTCCTGCGCTGGGCAAGAGACCCAGGCAATAAAAGTGTAATAAATCATCCTACCCTGGCCTTGGGGACACGGCAAAGCTTCACCTTGAGCCAAAAGTGAACGAGTGAGAGCACCCTCTCCCCCTACAGATCTCTGGCCCCAGGGCCGGCAGGCTGTCCCTCTTGTGGCAGGGGCTAGCCTGAGACCCAGAGTGCCCTCCTGCCTGAGGAGGAGGAGGGAAGGATCAGGGAAGCAGTCCCAAGAGGGAGGGGAGGGTCCTCTGAGGGGTGGACTCTGAAGGAGGAGGACAGGGAGGAGGTGGCAGCTCCCTCAGTCTCCCCCTCCTCCCCTGCCTGGGAGGAGAATTCCTGAGCTCCAGTGAGGTGACAATGGGTGCTAGCTGCCTGAAGGGGCTTGCCACATCGCATGCCTGGCAGGCTCTCTGGGGGTCTACCCTCACCTCACCTGGGCTCAGGTGGGGTCTCCACCTCTGTGGCTCTGAACCCCTCACTTCCACCCCAGGTCTCCCCAGCACAGCACAGCCTCCAGACTGCTCACCCTTCTCCTGGATCCCCTGACTGGGACCCTCCACCTCCCACTTAGAGCCTCCCCCCTCCCACACATCCCTGTAGCCGCTGGGCCCTCTCCCCAGCCTGCAGCTCAGTCCCTTCACTTTCCCTGCTGGGGGAAGACAGAGGGTCCCTGACTTTCTCTCCTCCCCACTGAGCCCCAACCCCTGGCCAGCAGGCAGGCAGGCTGACGGGCACACCTGTTGACCTTGGCCAAGGCTGGGAACTCATTAAACCCACCCCTGAGGGAGAGCTCAGAACACCCTTCCGGCCCCCTCCTGGCCTCCCTCTGTGGGAGCAGGGGGGCGGCCCAAGGCCTGAAGAGCCTCAGGCAGGAGCTGGGGTGGGGTGGAAAAGCACCCCCCTTGCTCCCCAATCTGCCCTGCCTTCTCCTCCGGGTGTGCCCCTCACCCCCCATCCCACCCCAGCCCCGCCTAGAAGCCAATAGTCTAAAGACATGACAGGACACACCCCCTCCCCTGGATTTCACTGTCCTCCCCGCACACCCACACTCTCCCTACTTCCCCACCCTGTTGAACTCCTACTCATCCCGCATGCCCAGGGGAAGCGGCTCCTCCCCAGGGAAGTCTCCGGAGCAAAGCCTGGCACACACTAGGTGTTCAGTAGTGGGATAAGGAATGGCTTTGTGTGGAGCAAGGAGACCTTCTGTAAACAGGTGGAGAGCCCAGAGGACAGGCGCCCGTAGCTGAGTGGCACACTCTGCTCCTCAGGGCTCAGGGCTCTCCTGTAGGTGCCTGCTTGCTGGTTGCCAGCCCCCAGCCGCTGACCCCACCCCCCTCCACCAGATGAGGAAATAATTGGTTTCCAGTTAGGAATAGGGGTGCACAGGATAACCCCGCCCCCCTGGAGCTCACACAAGCTCCCCATTTCTCCTTGCTACTTCAGGGTCAGCCCAGCTCTGGGGGGTTGGGAGGTAGGGGGGTGGGGGATGGGAGCTGGAGGGGGGAGCTCAAAGGCATGGTCTTCTTTGCAGGTCAGGGCAGTACCTTTCAGTGAGGGGGGAGTGTAGGCACAAGGGTTGGGTCTCTTCGACTTGAGGTGGTGTCCCTCTCCGGAGGCTCTCTGTCAGGGAATGAGCCAGGGAAAGCAAGATCACCTGGGTGATCTCCCTTCACTCTCCTTCCATTCTACTACCCCCCTAAGCCCCCCCCCCCACACACACACACTGCACCTAGACAGAGACAGCCCAGGCTTTGGGAGGGGCCTCAAGAGGAGCAGGTCTGATAGAGGAGGAAAATCTGCAGGGCAGTGGGTGGGGCGATGGATTGGTATACTAATGTGTCCTGGGGTGGCTGTCCCATCCATATCCACCCCATCCCACCCCAAAGGGCCCAGCATCTCCAACCATCTGTCTCTGGAGACTCACCTGGTAGGGGGAGGCCTCTTCCTCTGAGGGAGGCCCCAGTGAGCCATGCAGAAGGAAGGGAGGGCAGAGGGAGAAGATAATAGAGTTATTTTCTCCCAAAGACTCCTCTCTGGGGAAGGGACTTATCCTCCCCCCACCCCACCTCCTTGCCATTGGGCAACAGGGGCAACAAATGGGCACAGAGTGGCCGCCCCGTTCCTGCCCATCCCTGTCTCCTGCTCTGCGTGGCCTCTGCTCCTGGGGACCCCAGGAAGGCGCCCAGTTATCGTGCCAGGGTTGGGGAGACCGGGGCTGGGGGGCAGGACAGGGGTCCCACCTGGTGAGGAATGTTCTGAGAGCCGGAACAGCATGGCAGGGGTTGGTCTCCGGCGACGGATCTAAGGATGGGGAGGGGGGGGGGTTGTGGACAGAACAGCACAGACACCCGCTGACCACCTCAAGGCAAATCCAACCCCCCGCCACCTCCACCCACCCCCCACACACAGCTGATAGGGACAGCAGGGGACAAACCGTGCTTTGAAGTCCCCAGGAAACCTAAGGACCAAAGAGTTACCAGGGCTGAAAGAGCTCTATAGCTCACCCAGGCCCTTCAAGGTACAAAGGTGTCCACCTAGGCTCCGAGAGGCCAGCACACTCCACTCAGGGAAAGGGCAGGAAAGCCCATGCCCTCCCCACCTTCCCTGGCCACCCCCCACCATGCCTCTCACTGCCCATCTTCTCCTGTGGAGCGGGCACTTCTGCAGAGGACCACAGGCCTCAGGAGCCCAGGGTGGTTTCTGGCCCAAGCCATCAGGGAGGGGCCCTTTGGGGAAGATGCTCCCTGGGCATGGCACCCACGTGGCCTTGCCCACTTAAGGTCAGCTCAAGGACCCCAAAGAAGCCAGATCCTGCAGAGGGAAGCTGAGCTGGGGCACTGAAGGCAAGGCACCTGCGCCCTCTCACAGGGAACCAGGGCCGGCTTGGGGCTGGACCCTCCCCCTCTCCAAACCTGAAGATTCCTGCCATAGTCATGACAACCCTTGCCCTCCTGGCTACAGGCGCCAGGCTGCACAGTTATGTGTGTGTCGTGGGGTGGGGGGGGACCCTGAACACGCTCATCAGCACCCCCTCCCCCAGCTTAGCAAACCAGACCAACTGCTTAATTAGGTCCCCTCTGAGCTCCAGGGAAATTCACCAAGAACCAGGTGAATGAGCCGGAAACTGCCCAGGCCCCAGGCTCAGCTCCCAAAGCTCCAGCTCTCCAGATAAAAAGTGGCTTAGTCTCAGGACCACCCCTCCAAATCCCCCCACACCCCGCCATGATCCCTCAGGACCCCCCATCTCCGCCTCCAGAAGGACTTGTTCCCACACTGACTGCTAGCCGCGTCCTAGCAACAAGTGACCCATGGCTGGGCTTGGGGAGCATAGTCCTCACCCCGAGTCCCCCCTCTCCAGCCTGGCTGAGGGAACTGGAAGGCGCGGG